TAGATATGTGAACGGAACAAATGAGTAAATTGATATACTATACTATAACAAACCAGACTAACAAAAGAATAAATTAAATGTGTTTCACTAGTTATAAGACAATAAATGTTTCCTGGAAAGTGTAAGTTATGTAAGTGTGCATAAATTTGCTGCTGAGAGGATTAATGGGAGGAAATTGGTGTTGCCAAAGTTGAAGTATTCATCACAGTGATGCTGTTACCTTTTGTCCGAATTACTGTTATTAGGGCTTCTGAAAGGCAGCATCACATGATTGACAATTTCATCGTGCAATTTAACTGGACCTAAAGCAGTTATTTCATAGCACTTTACCTCAAATAGAACCTGTATTTTTCTTCTATCTTCTTCGGCCCACTTTGTAAACTTACATTACATTACCTGCTAACGTTTGATTTGCTCACGTCACGTTCTCTTCCCTTCATCTCAATGGGACACGTGGGGAACAGGACGACTTAAAGATTACACACCATGCTGACAACAGCCTGAACAGCTTCTGTAAGTGGCAGAAGAAACTCAACATGAAAGGAGAAGAACACCCGCTGCACCATGACGTGTCAGTTCTGCTCACCAGGTAAATAAAACTTCACCAGGCTCTCTTTGTTTCTCAACCGCGCATAATCACATCCTCCAAGAGAGTCAATATGTAATTGTTTTTTATCGCGTCATTCCAGAGCTGTTATTGATTTACTGATTTAGATAGTTGCTAAAAGAATAATCAAAGCTGCATGTGCGTCTGGATGACAAGCTTTCTTATTTAGTTGTCTTTTGGGCTTTGAAATGTAACAGTTGTTATGTCAGCTGTAATGAACTGTCCTGAATTAACACTGCTGTTAATAGAAGTTATCAGAATAATTTATCAGATTCCAGATGGCTCAGTAGCTGAAATGCAAGAACAATAATTAATTTTATTTAAAATGAAATAATCCTTATTTTAATCCTGAACTCTCAAGCATTCACTAAATAAGTTTTTTTTTCAAACAACCATTTCAAGCCACGATTTCGACTTTCTTCTTCCAAAGCATTCAATATGAGGAGGCAGTGTGCCAGCTCTAATTTGGAAACAAATAGACCTTTTTTTGATGTAAAGAACATAATTTTCAGTAAAAAGATCACATTTTTTACTTGTCAAACCCATATTTGCCACTCATGGCATACAAGTTACATATCCAGGGGCAATTTGGTTATTTATCTAATAGAAATATATATATATATATATTTTAAACTTTATTGCTTATAATGGTTAACTTTTATACAAATACAAACCTTTAACTGAGCCTTACAGGGATCCCACCCAATATCTCCCTTTATATATTTGCTAAAATTGGAGCATATCTATGAACTTGAAAGAGATATTAGATGGTCTGGTTGTGAACAGTTTCACTCCTGCTGTGCAATCAAGAACTGGACACAAGCCTGAAAGAGTTTGGTACGAGTGAGTAGAGGATAATGAAGCAATTATACTGAACAGTATGAAACTCCCTAAATTACACAGTATTCCTGTTATTCACATTTAGAAAAAACTGACTTACTTTTGTGAGTGATAAAGAACAGACACTTACAAGGCCCTTTCTTATGAACAAGGTATAGCAGAAAGATTGGATATACATATTTAATTTAGTTTTAGTTGTATAGCGCCAAACCATAATTAAATTAAGCTCAGTACACGTTGTATTGTTAATGTCACATACTGAAGTCACTGAACTTCCTACCTATAAGAAATCTTCTGTTTCACAATTATAGAGTGGAGGAAGTGGACCAAATGTTCCTCTGAGATGGTAGTATGTCTCTGTCAGTTCACTGGTGTCCTTGATGGTTATTACCTATACATCTGTGAACACACTGACAAACATTATCTGTCTCACACCGTGTCCACACAGCAACAACAGCTTCAGTAGTTGAATAAAATATGTATAAAACAGACACACACTATTTATATATTTATATAGATTAGATTATGTGATATATCTTTGGTCTTACAGTATGTTTATGTATGAAATTTTTCCTGGGTATGTAAGATATTCTAATATATATATATATATATATATATATCTTATTTTCAATGTATAATCATAATCCTGCAAACAGGATAAGGCAGCAGAAGGCAAGTTGTTGTTGGTATTTTGTTGGAAGTTGGGTCTAGACTGTTTGCTGAGAATAGACGGCTCAGAACCAAGTCTCTTTCTGGCTTCTTCCCTCCGTCAACCAAACTAGGATTTTAACAGTAGGAGCAAACTTAATGCTTGGAGCAAAGATTGGAATAATTCTTAAAATGTACGACATACGTTCCGACCTGGTGGATGTGTTTAATTTGATATTGCAGGAGATGTTGAATTCCAGCAACTCATCCATCTTGTGTCCTCCACTTTGTTGCTTTGTGAAGCAAAGTACAAATCAGAGGAGTCTCAGAAGGCGACTGTATAGTCCAACAAAGAAAATCTGCTTTCCAATCAATCTGCCTTTTTTATTAAAGCAACTCACAACTGGAATGCCAGTGGCTAATAAACCACCAGATCTGTCAGCACTGGTAAAGGGACTGTACTTGTAGAGCGCCTTTCTAGTCTTCCGACCACACAAAACACTTTTATACTACATGCACACAGTGATGGCAAAGGCTCATCACAAACAGAAACTAAGATTCATCCACGTTAAAAACTGCTTGGTTAGTATATCAGAATTAACCTCAATGAGACGTATGATCTTGTTGGTTTCCCTCCACCTCCTTCCCCTATTGTTTCCCCTCCCATAATTTTTATCTGTTCTCCGTCATCTTATAATTCAGATCTCCAATGCATCGTCTTTGACACTGCCCTCTGTTTCAACCGATATCTGACCAACACTCCACCTTCACTTTTCACAGGAAGGACATCTGTGCATCCATCAACATGCCTTGTGAGACTCTGGGTCTGTCCCATGTGGCTGGGATGTGTCAGCCACATCGCAGTTGCAGCATCAGTGAGGACACCGGCCTCCCATTGGCCTTCACTGTAGCTCATGAGCTGGGACACAAGTAAGGTTTTACCGCACACACAGACACATACACAGGTTATTATAATCTGATTTATGTTCACATTGTTAAATAATCAACAGGAGAAAAATTATAAAAACGTTTGTGTGATCACGTGGGTACTTTGTCATGATTACAGTATCACCATTAAATATTAAAAGATTAGTTAAAATGTAATTAACTGTCTGCTAAGCCACGTCCCCCCTTAAGCATTCTGGTCTCACACGCCACATATACAGTTTACAATGATAACTCCAACAGATTTTCTCTCCTTTCTAGTTGTTAAAGGTTGATTTTCTGACTGAATTGCCTGTTGTTGGCAGATTTTATCAGCTGTAGCAGAACTAGCTAATTATCCTGACACTCTGTTGCTCATTACTGCTATTTTATCATAATTCTTTCCGCCACTTAATTACCTCTTTTTAAAATTTGACTTTGAGGATTTATTTCCGTCCTCCAATGACTTCACAAAAGACATAACGATTAAAGGAAATCAATGACATTCAAATAAACAAAAACACACGTGCTTTCTTCAAACAAAATGCCACACTCTAAAGGTAATCTCAACACAGGGGTAAAGCACAGCGTGAAACCTCCCTCACAAATTATATTTTACTGAACCTACAGGAGTGTTTAATTATTTTTGTTGGGTCCATTTGATCTGGAAGCACATGGCTTGCCCTACTAAGGTACCAGTTCTGGATGGGTTAAAGCAAACCAATGAAAATCCCCTTAATTAATATTCCATAGCAACCCGTTAGCTGGGAACACTAATGTCTGCTGCTCTGATAAGCTTGCAGCCCTCCTTGTACAGCTATTTATGAATATTTGTGTGGGAGGAGAAAAATAGAAGAATGGAAGAGAGAGGTGTTTTTTTTTATCTGTATGACTGTCACTGCTTCTTTGACTGAAGAGTAAGGGACTGGAAGAAGAGCTCAGCAATTGTCATACTTTGTATCTGCTGTTTTGTCTGTATCAAACCTGTTCGCCCACGTTGTTCACTGCGCAAAAAATATAGGTTGTTAATTGAGAGCCTTCGATATATAATATTACATTTCAAAAATGGCTCCCTTTCCTGAGACAGTACAGCCATGAAGCTATTTGCAAACTCCCTACTTTGTCCTTACATTGTAGCTCGCTGGATGTACAGATACTGAGTCTGAAAGTAGGATTAACAACATATATGAGTGCACAGAGACGAGATGTGTCTTCTTGTAATGTTTAGGAATAATACAAACTGTAAAAGGCACATACAGAGGTCAAACAAGCAATAGTGCCCAACAATTGTGCATCAGCCTCCAGATCCATTTGTATGTACATGTAATTTGTTATTGTAATCACATTCACTTCAGACTTATTCAGCTTGACTTCAATGAGTAAAAAACAACACGTGATTATATAGTTACATTGTATTTGTTCATCTTATGTTTATTCATCCGAAGTACCTTTCCAAATCGTATCCTATTTATTCTCCACCGTGTGTGTGTGTGTGGCTGGCAGGTAGTCGTGGATGTTAAAGGTGTTTTTAAGGTTGTTGAATGCATGAACAAGTCCTGGATTGACAGGAGCCCCCTTGTGATTACCAGGCTGTCCAGGAGAAAATGAAAATGAATTCACTGAAGTTCCAACAGTGGACTGACAGGCTGAGGTTGTTTTCAGCCTTCAAAGGTGCAACGGTAGAGGTAGTTTTAAAGAAATAAAAAATAAAAGAACTGAAGAATATGTAAAAAGCATAAACATTGTGAAAATGATGTTGTTAGACCTTCTGCCACTATCGGAAACTTGAAGCTACTCTTGCGACTGGCAATAGGCTACTGTAAAGGGGTTCGTTTATTTATTGATGTTGTAAAACTGGTGATGTAAAGTCATTCTCCAAAATGCTAAATATGATCCAACAGCATGTTATAAAGCCAAATGTGGTGAAAACCAGCACAGTGTTTCATTGCTATTTAATCAAATGTTGCAAGTTATCATTCAATTGTGACTTCATAGTGCCAGATGTGTTTGCATAGTGTTTCTTTATGCTCAAATACAGCCATAGAAAAACTGCAGAACATGTTTTGTTTTAATAAAAAAGATAAAAATCAGACTTTCTGTGCAAACCCCTATTTTGTTAATGGAATTGTAATTTTCAGTTTCTTAAAAATTCTCTCTTTAAAAGGTTAAACAATGATGAGAAGCACTGTGCTAGAGAGAATCTCACTTATTTTTAATTGCTTAATTCTTACTGAAGTCGTCATTCTTGTTGCTGAGCTTCCTGATTGGAAAAAAAAGAATACCATAAAGCAACCACAGCCTTTGAAGAAGTAGATATGAAACATAAGCAATCTGCACTTTAACAGAGATGTGTGAATGCTCATATGTGTTTAAGAATAGTTTGTTTACCTCTGATTTCCTTTATCACTGTTGTGCACAGATTGTTTTGTTGCAGTGACTTTGTGGCTCACCTCCGCTGTTCACAAACATGTATTTGTTTATTGTTGCACATTATAGCTGTACCTTGAAGTACATATTACATGTTGTGCCTACTCACTTTAATTTCCCTCTGTGCTTTTATGTCACAGCTTTGGGATTCAGCATGATGGCAACGGTAATGACTGTGAACCCATTGGGAAACGACCTTTCGTCATGTCTCCACAGCTCCTGTACGGCACCTCCCTGCCCAGGTGGTCACGCTGCAGTCGCCAGTATATCACCCGCTTCTTGGAGTGAGTGCCACACACGATGTATGACTACACTGCCATCTGACATGTTACTTTCAGTTTGTGTTGTTTAAGTTCAAAGTTTGCCCACAACCTTTTGAATTCATACATTTAAAGCTCCTGAAGGCAATCCATAACTATATACACTATATATAGTGTATATGTACTGTTTATATAGTATATGAATAAAAGAACAAAATAAAACAAGAGTTTCTATGCACCTGAGGGTCCATGAATTTTAGATTACCTCAATATTCCTATGTCTGTTGAAATCTGGCAGAAAATGATGAAAGCTTTCATACTGGGGCATACACCTTGTCATCTCAGATCACAGATTAAATTAGACGTTCTTTATTGTCCCCAAAGGGAACTCATTTTGCTCCGGTCGGTACCATATTAACAGCTGATTTTGTAGGTATAATGACTTGTCCTGTACGTGCACAAGATAGAGACAGACCAGGGATAATACCTGAAAGTATGAATGCACTGATCCAACTGCATTGGAATAAACACACAAAAAGTATGGTAGTATTCAAGGTGGTAATACGTTTGGATATGGGCAGATACTGTCTGTATCCAGAAGATGACTAACACTGACATTTGCCAGATTTTATTTTTATATGATATGATACAATATGCTATGATATACAGATCTATATACATTCAGATCAGGGTATAAGCCAATACCAAGCAGTGATCCAATACCAGTGCTCTCTGTGTAACACGGTCTCTCTGTCAACAAATGATCGTCACTTGTCAAAGAAAACTAATGAAATAAATTATTTGTTTGTGCACAGCTGTGTTTAATGATGTTGTTGTAGACAGTTCACCCTGTTGTGACCTGAGGGCAGATTCATAATTGTGTTCAACTTCGTATAATCATCACATAATTGGAACACGTCCTCCTGCTGTAGGATTACTGGTGTACTGGGGAGGTACTTTACAACAATGTGTCACCTTTGTCTGATTTATTAAGAAAAACAATTAAATGCTTAATTTTAAATGTTTAGAATCCATCACTAAATTCATGGAAATCCAATTTATTGTCATGATAGAACTTTGTAGTTGCATTGAACTGCATGTTTGAGATTAGCTGCATTTACAATTTAGTGAGAAACATTGTGCTTCACTTTGTCATTCTCAGAGGGAATGAAAGCAACTGCATTTGACAATGATTGCACTGAAAATAGGATTATTTAATATAAAATGCTGTTTATCAAACGTATGTTTAAATGTTTCTATAATTATTAATTATTATTAATTAATTATTTCAGGAATTATGCATGACCATATTTTTCTCCTCAGTTCAGTAATTAGAAGGTTTGATTTTATTTTTATGGAGCTTCAGCAAAATCCAAATGAGTTTTCACATACTGACGCTAGATAAAATATATGCTTATACAGTATATACTGTATCTGTATGCTTGTCTTTATCTATTTAAAGTACTCTGTGTGTGTGTGTCTGTGTGATGCAGTCAGCTGCTACTGTCAAAGACGTGCATTGTGATTCTGGCTTCAACAGGGCATGTGTTGAATGTCTGAAATACTTTGCTGTCGTTGCCCCAGTTTCTCAGCTCCAAGCATCTGGAATTCATTTAGTGGGTGTTCAGCTACTTGACAGTATTGTTGCGTCTTGACTCCACTGTGGAAAAAAAGGGCCGCAGGGTGATATTTACGCTCGTGGGAGTTTGCTACACAAAGGCCACTGATTTGTGTGTTTGTGTGTGCGTGTCTGTAGACAGAGAACTGTCCTAGCATTTATAAAAGCACAATTTTGCACTCAGTTTTAGATAAAAGTTTGAGTCAAAACTGTATTATGTAGGCCTGTAACGATCATTTTACTATTGTGCTCAAACTGAGCTGTGGCTTAACGAAGTAGTGAAAAACACTAGTTGTAATTTATTACCATCGTATCATATATTGTTTATAAAGTTGCAGTAACTGTTCCAAATCTAAGGCAAAACGTGGTCAGTAAACAGTGAAAATATGAGCAATAACACCCCTTCTGCCTAATTTGCCATCATTAGAGCCACACTGCAAGAGTTACTTAAAATGAAGAATATTTTAACAGGTTATTATAATCTGATTTTTGGTCAATTTTTTGGTAGTTGCTGTTGTATTAATATCTCATAATGAAGTTGACAAGCTATCACCGGAAGCAGCTGGTGTTGAACTCAGTCACAATTATAAGTGGTAACCCCCGTGGCTGGCAAAATAAGTCAATCAGTCTCCATAAGCTTAACAGCAGCATAACTTACCCATTTAAATTATATCAAGGAGTAAAGGTCACAGGTGGTTGTTTGCAGTAACCACACTTCATTCAGCCTGCCATTCATTTTTAATTATACAGTCTATGTTTGGAGGGAGGGAGTGAGTGACAGTGATACTGCAAACACAAATGCAGATCTCACTGTTCAGTTGCATGAAAAAGTAAAACAAAATATTGTATTTATATGGTGAAATGTTCACTATGAAAGTTTTTCTAAAATGTTACCATATTTTTTCTTTAATCGCTATATATCACCTTGCTTCCAGTATCTTGTAATATATTATACATACATATATATAGTATATCGCAATATATTGAATTGTAACCCATCGTGATGCATATCGTGTCACCAGGTTCTTACACAGCCTTATTCGCTAGTGTGGATTGAGAATCTCAGTCTGGTTTCCTGGAGCAGGTACGAGTTTATTGCTGGATTTATCAGCTGGACTTACATACTGAATGGAAATTCTGACTGAGTATAAGTAATGATTATAGTCTGTTTGTTGCTGACAGAAGACAGCTAGAGTTAATTTGGCTGTGATCCAGAATAACTTTATAAGTAACTTTAATAATTTTACTGAGGCAAGATGACCACTGAAAAGAAAAGGGACCAAGAAAACAGGATGCTTTCTGACCACCCACCCTCCTCGCTGGCATGTCTCTGTTTACGTCTTCTTTTTTCTCTCTCAGTATGCCGTCTTTTGACCTCCCCATCCAGCAGGCCAATCCAAAACCACTAAGTCTGCATTGATCATTATCTTCACATGAGACTTGACTGATATTTATCTTCCCATCTCATTCCTCTAAATGCCAGTTCCCCGCTCATTTTCTCTGTTTTATCTCTTTCACTGACTCCAGGACAAGGCTTCTATTGTATATGGATTCAGTTGTCCCGCAGGCCTCTGCTGCTCGTGCTACTTCAGAGGTCCGTAGGTGTTATTTTATGTGGAATGTAGACGGTCCAACTGAGCTGAGTGGTTCAGATATTATCACATAGATGGGCTTCTCATAAATACAGAGCCACCCTTTAATGTCCAGAGCAGGATTCCCGAAAGGCCACAGAGGCCAAGTTGCGCGGGAAAAAAAAAAGTCATTTAATTTAATTGCTGCACAGAGGATACACTGAAGTTGAAACAAGCATTTGCGGTTTGGAGATATCTCATGCATAACATAGAATATTTGATCACAGCTCATGTATTGATTGTTCATTAATTTTGAGGTGAATGGATTCAGAAAACAGTTCATTAATTGGCATAAACATTTCCAGCAAAGCTGGCGTTGACAAAGACTGCAGTAGAACCTAATTTGCCCTCTGAGCTGTCTTTCAGTCCAGAGGCACTCATGGAGAACATTTTAATTGCTGCAGTTCAATGGGGTCATAGAGGTCAACTCAAGTTAATGATCTCAAGTTTTTTTTGTGCTAAACAATTGGCCTTCATATCTTTAAATTTTCTCATTGGTGAGACTTTGTTATAATATTTTAAGTTCTGAAATATCTGAAGTTTTGCTGAGCGTTTTAGCATCTTTCAGCTCATTGTTTTGATTTTACAGTTCATTCGCAGTGCTCTCATCAGCATTGTTTTCAGATGCATCAGTTTTAACTGTATTCTATTTGCCCAGCACCAAACAGCAAACAGATACAGTTTGAGAGCTTGAGAACATGTTGGGTCCCTCAGGAGTTAGTAACCAAAACAGAGTTCATTGTTATGTTGCTTCGTATCTGCTGGATGTGTAAATATGCATGTTTGCCATATAAACTTAGATAAGATAATAAGCTCTAACTAAGATAATAAGTTAAAGGTCCAGTGTGTAGGATTTAATGGCATTTAGCTTTGTATTTGCAGAGGAACTACAGTGGCCGCTTAAGAAACAAAATGTAAGCAGCCCTGTCTAGAGCCAGTGTTTGGTTTGTCTGTTCTGGGTTAGGACTCACTTCCTCTGTATATAGTAACAGCTCATTCTCAGGTAACAACAGGGTTCTTATTTTCAGGTGATTGTACACTAATCAAAACATAGTTATGCATATTGTAAGATTGCTCGAGTGGCGAAGGCAGGAAGGAAGGGACCTTAAAACTGTTCAACTTTCTTTATTTCCCTTTTTTCCAAGCAGTGGATCAGTTCAGCGTATTTACAGTGAGGATCAGCTTAGCCCAAACCGAAGAAAACAACAAACCAACTAAAAATGAAAACGAATAGACACAACTTAGGAAAAAGGTAACTAGAGGTATCAAAAATAACCTCAACTCTGCTCAGGGCTATACCCCTTTTAAGCTGGGGCCCCTGGCAGCTACCAAACCATGTGTTGCTCACCAATATCCTCCAAAGTAGTCTCCCCTGGAGAACCCTCAACTCCTGCTTATATGTGCGGTAGCTCCTCCTACCACAGGAAGCAACAATTAAGAAAACAATTAACCTTTAGCATTCATTTATCTAATACCCAATAGTTAAGTTTTATAGCTCAACAGTAGAAAGAACTCACTACACATATTAAAAGAGTAAAATAGATCCCACCATAATCCACGTTCCCCAATTAAACTTTATGCAATTTCAAACATACGCTCTTTGTAAATGGAGAATGATCTGAATTAAGATTTTGAAGCTTTATTGAAAGAAATTTGGAAAGTGGATTGTGGTGTTATACATTTCTATTTTACAACAAACATGTCAGACTGTCTGACTTAACAAACTTAAACTTGACTTTTTTGGACAAACATCGATTCTCCGTTTAACCAATCAATAACTGAAATCCAAGACCAACTCAGTCTCTCCACACTGTGAGAGTGGACACACAGTTTTACATGATGCGACTATAGGACAGTTCATCGGGATGCCCGTGACTTGTAACTTAAATGAGACACAATATAGAGTGCTTGTCCACCTCAGCCACTTACATACCATAGTATAGTAGATGTTGGGTTGAAACATGTTGCACTTGGCCATTTCTGTTTTGGACCCAAGAACCTGGCAAACCAGTCCCGCCCAGGTGGACTCCTTTATAGGTCAGGTTCCTGGGGAATGTGCCAAGTTTAGTATAGATGAGGGGGAGATTTAGGAGGCGTTTGGGAATTTTGTTATTTTGACAGT